GGAGGAAATCAGGAGGACTGAGGGCCCCAGGGCACTGGGGATGCATTTCCTCAGTTAAAGGAAGGCGATGATAGTAGGAGACTTCAGCTAATAGAGGTATAGACAGCTCAGTGTGCACGGACGATGAGAAGTCTTAATGCTGAGAGTGGTCAGGATCCTCGCCAGAGACAGGTTGTCATGTTAAATGTTGGAACACATGACATAGGAAAATATAGTTTTTGTAATTCCACAATAAAGATTTGAGGATAGAGCTGACGAATGTTAGAGCAGAATGTCTTTGTATTCTCAGCAGTTTTTCCCGTGCAATATGCAAGCACAGGGAAGAAAGAGGAAAATCATGGAAGGAGCTTATAGGATAATAGGGCATTGGAGGTCCTTCTGGAATGAATGGGATCTGTACATATGCATATGCATAGAGTAGTTGAGGAATATTTTAAGCTATGGAACTGGGAGGCAGGAAGCTCACAAAAGGCCAAAAACAACCCCGGGCAACACTATGAAAAAAATCTAAAACAAAGAGCTTGTCCATCTTTGAATGCTTATATCCCAATGCTAGCAGCATAAGGAATACTGTTGCAAGAACCCAAGATTACTGCATTAGCAGAATCTATGACATTTCCGGAGTCAGGGGAGGCTCGCTCCCCTGATCGCTAGGGGATCGCTAGGAGAGGATAATGGGTACAAATATAATACATACATTTTTTCTAAAAGAAAAGGGCAGGTCATAATGTGGCAGGAATTATGTGCCAAGACAGAGCTGGTACAGTATATAGAAATATGTATCAAATTTCAGCTGCAAGCTAGACAACTGAAGCTAGAGAGCACAGGCCAAAATGTGGGTTAAATGAGTTAAACTGTAAAATAAAAAAATAAGGTCTTTACATGAATTGTATCATACAGAGCACCTAATGTACAAATGGGCACATGTAACTGACTGTATAATGACATCAGGAAGGTACAGTATGTGCAAGAGTGATGTTATAATACTGGGAGATTTCAATTTCCCACACACAAATATGTTTATTGGGGAATGCAGAAATTGAAATTGATATGACTGAAAGAATTATAATAAAACCACTGGTAAATTGTGATTTTAAGATGGTAGTTGGTGGTGTACTGTAGAGTGTGCAGGTGGTGTACAGTTGCACCTATACGTCCTGGTTACCGGGTAGGTTTCTTTCTAAATGTAAATCAAGCATTTTAGGATACAAAATGCTGTGTAAATGCAAGGAACTTGTCTTATTTCTTATTATCAAAATCATTTAAATTTCAAAATATTGAGTCTAAATTTACATTTTAGAAGTTTAGAAAATCTCACTTTGAATTAACAAGTCAGATTTTTTGTGGAATGGTGGAATTGGAATGGGTGGATTTAAAGTCAGGAGAAAAAATATGGTTATAATTAATACATTAACTTTAGTGGCTATAAACTAATTGAAGGCAAATAAGTCCCAATTAAAAACAATCTTGTTTAAATTGTTTAATATAGAAATATGTTAGGAACAGAATAGTCTATAGACTGTGCAGAGAGGTCCAAGAGTCAGAGACTATACACTGCTACAGACACAGCTGAAAAAAAGAGAATCTCTAGAAGAAAAAGACAGAAACAAATCACATTAGTTTAAAGCATTTGTTCTGTGCTACAATAATAAAAGAACAATAAAAGTGATTTAATATTAGAAGATAAAAAATAATAAACATGCTAAATAAATATACAAAATAAGACATCAATAATATGCCACATACAAAGAACCATCCTTTATTTGTATTAGGTAATTTTAACATAACTGACACTGAGGTACTACAATGATCAGGATGTGTTGCTGTGAATAAATTGCCAAAGCCCGATGATATTTTCCCAGTTTTACTTAAGGAAGAGATGCATGGCTAGGATATTTCAGCCCTCACCTGTGAGGATCGATGCAGCACCTACAAAAGCAGATACAATATAACACCAATTTGTAAAGAGGGAGACAAAAGCCAGGATAAGCCAGGATATTGTAGACCAATCATTCTGAAGTCTACAAATGATCGATCTGAACTAGAACAATACTCACCAAACTATTGAATCTCTTGGATTTGGAAATGAAAGACCTTGTTTTTAGCATTGTAACAATCAATGAAGTCAGCAACAAGGACAGTTGATAACTCTAAAGCATATTAAATTATATATTTAAATTTCCAGAAATATTTGATAAGCTCTCTCATAACATTCATTCAAATTCCAATTACAATTCAAATTCCAAGATAATATTGTATTACAGAACAAAAATAGCACGTCATGTTAAGGGACATAACCACTAACTGGAGAGATGTAAGTAGGCAGTAGTCTGCTGCAGGTATTCATTTTAAGCACATTGCTGTTTCTGGTCTATGTCACTGATTTAGTTTCTGGTTATTTAAACTCAATTTCCAGATGATACAAAAACAGGGGAAACAAACACAGAAATAATGGCAAGAGAATTGCAAAAAGACAAATTTGCGGATTTGGCCATACTGAACAAGTGACATTTAATATTTAACTTACACACAAAAAATAGGAAAATAATGTAAAGTAGCACTTTACATATTGCATACAGTAGTTCATTTCTAAGTTGCAGGAAACCACAAGTGCAATGGTTCTAAGTGCTTATGTTGACTGTCTTTATCTAGAAAGTGTGGAGAAGCAATTAAAAAGCAAACTGAATGTTTGGATATATACTGTAGGAACAAATGTAGAATTTAAACCACAGAAGTTATGGTCAAGCTTTTCAATATGCTGGTAAGACCTCATTTGTGTTCAGTTTCTGTAAACATAACACAAAAAAGGATATAGTATTTTATATGGAGTCACACTAGGAGACTAATTCACTCTCAGTATTGAAATAAGGACACAGGAAAAGAATTGACTTAGGACTGAGAATGAGAAACACAAAGAGTTGTGGTTATCTGGAATAAGCTTCCCAGTCAGGTGATTAAGTCACAAACTCTGGGCTCCTTCAAGAAGCAGCTGGATGAAATTGTAGGTTCCCTTAGTTACTAAACTGCCCAGCAAGCAAGATGGGATAAATAGCTTTCTCCTGTTGGCAGTTGCTCTCATGTTTTTTTTCTATTCTTTTTTCAAATAAGAATTATGAATCACTGAAAAAAATAAAGTTGTTTTTTCAAGGTCTGAGGCAAACCTGTCAACTTTGCTTGTTTTGCTCTGTAGCAAAATGAGTTAATAACAAACATGGCAGAACAAATCTACAGTGTCCAAAACAGAAACAGGTTGACTTTTCCTGTTTAAAAACATCATCCTGATTATAAGACCATGATGTATTCTAGACAACAGAATTGTAAACTAATGGGACTAATTAAACTGTGAAACAACAGGTCATCAGTTTTTTTTCTTTGCAATTAGAGCATGCACAACATTATCATTCTGTTGTGCAGCAACGCAGAGTCCAGGGATTAGGCTAACTGTTTACAGTGACAGAGCAAGAGTTTTCCTGTTTTTTTTTCTTATGTAATAATGTGGCTTGTGGCATCAGAATTTAACATGATTGCTTTCAAGTCAGGCCGTTGGCTTATGTAAGATTGAATTTATGGTTGACATCGCAGGGAGCCGAAGCCAAGGGTCATGCAAATCCATTGTACACAGCTGTAGGCCACATTTTAAAATGAACTTCACTTTGTGTTTAGAGGTTGTTGATTTTTCTTTTCTTTCTACAAAATGGTTGGGTTGTCCTGTGATATGGTACAGCTATGTGGTGTTTTGTGAGTCATTTCATGTGGACTTAGACATTCAGTTCAGAATGAACAGCAGCTGAAGTGCAACATCTGTGTTTGGTTACCTAAAGTTTCTGGGCAATTTGCTTCTTAAGGTTTTATTTTAATCCTGGTACCCTTAACTAACAGGGCCTGTGTTTTTGCTGAACTGTAAAGCTTTCTTAAACCTGCATATAGGAAAGTGTACAAAAATAATATAACATTATGTTTACATTTCAGAAAATCACCTACAGCTTGCTATCGTATCTGTAGCCAGCAGCCATATCACCCTGCAACTCACAACTGATAACCCAGTGAAACTCAGCAGGTGTGAGCCTGGTCAGTACCTGGATGGCAGACCTCCTGTGAACAACTAAGGCTGCAGCTGGAAGTGGTGTTAGTGGGGCCAGTAGGGGCTACTCACCCTGCTGTCTAATGCCCCAGTATACTCACGGGGACATTATACTGTAAAAAAAGGCATAAAAAAAGTGTCTTCGTCTTCTAGATGAGACATAAAACTGAGGTCCTGACTCTCTGTGGTCATTAAAATGCTAGGGTGTTTCGTGAAAAGAGTAAGGGAGTTACCCCAGTGTCCTGGCCAAATTTCCTATTGGCCTTTACCAATCATGGCCTCCTAATAATTCCCATCTATAAATTGGCTTCATCACTTCAAGTGGTGAGCTTACCGCTGCACTATGGCATCGCATCATCCAGGAGGCTGCTGTATATTGTGGTGGAGAGGAGTCCAATTACCTGAAAAGAACTTTGAGTGGTGTGTCCAGAAAAGCTCTATACTAGTTTAAGGAATTCTTCTTCTTCTTCTTCTTCTTATTATTATTATTATTATTTTTATTAGTGGCAGTAGTATCAAGAATGATCTGTAAATTAATTTAAAAATGGGAACAGGAGGCACTTCTTCAACCATAGAGTTGTAGGAGTAGCTACAAGCTTCCCAACCATGTTCTTAAAGCTGATACTCTGGCTTCTTTTAAAAAATAGCTGGATGAGATCTTTGGATTAATTAACTAGTAACATCCAAACAGGCAAGATGGGCTGAATCGCCTATTGTTTGTAAGATGTTCTTGTGACACATTTCTGATAACATGTTTGGAAACTACATACAGTATGGAATGTCTTACAGTATACTTGGGATTTGTAGTCCAGTGATTCTAAATAAACCCGTCCAGCTTGGGCAGTGATAATGCTTTAATCAATGAAGTTATTTTTTTGCCAGCCTCTTCATATAAGCTCTTCCTCCTGTGGTCCCTCAGGGAGCGCATGCGGCAGTCAGCGATGTATGACCTGTGCCTGGGGATGCGCCATGTGAGCCAGGAGTTTGTGCGTCTGCAGCTGACCTACGAGGAGTTCCTGGCCATGAAGGTGCTCTTGCTGCTCAGCACAGGTGGGTCCTCTTGGGTGATCTTCGTCCAGTTGCCTCATGTCAGAAAGGCAGCACCTACAAAATGAAATAAAATCCAAAGATGTGTTTGTTTTTACAGCAAGCAGTTTATTTTGACAGAGAGTAAGGCTAACTGCAAAATGTTAAAGATCAAGGCTATCTTGTAACTAAATGGACCATACTGTACTTTCTACCATTGCGTTTGAATCTGCAATTATTTGAACATGGTTTCTTACCGAAAACCTTATGAGGCGCTGGGCACTGAGCTGGAAAGTACCAGCCTGTAAGGGAGGCGTCTAGGTCTTGGTGAAGGCAAGCGGAGAAGTGAGAGCTAGGGATGCGCTGTGCAAGCAGACAGAAGACGGACTGAAGAAGAATGCTGTCAAGAGGACGCGTGGTTCTTTGTGACCTGTCACTTATATTGTGCAGCCCATTGTTCTCTCTGTTTTTTTAAAACATAGCTGGTTAAAAATGTACTCATTTTGTTTTAAAATTTGTCTTACATAGACTGAGCAATTGGAAGGTTAAAATTAAATTAAAAGAGCATAACAGAGAATGTTTTGTAGTTGTTTGGAAGCTAGTGACCTTTAACATATTCAAAGAGTCTGAACCACAGTTTCTTAAGGTTGAAATTTAAATATGATTCGTAACAGCCTGGGACCACAAAGCATGAAGATTCTAGGTTAAGATGACATAGCTTTGATTATAGATGGAATTAACTTGCAATTAACCTTTGTAGAACATTTAATTGAGCTAAAAATGTGAGCCCTTGTGTTTTGAAAATAATGTAATACTTTTTTTTTTCAGTTGACCTTTAACAAAGCTTTATGAAATGTCTTTTACAGCCCTTGCCATTTGGCAAATGGAAGAGATGACTTTGCAATTTTCTGGATTGATTAGTGTTAGCCGTTTATTAGGAGTGAAGCAAGGAATGAAAAAAACCTAAGCCTTGGAACTGTCAGTACAATAAGGAAATGAAGGAGTAACAGAACATTTTTTTAAAAGTGAATGTGATTAATATAAACAGAATAAGGCAAAGTCAATAGCTGAAAACGTAACAATTACAAGAACATAACAAATGTATGATGTTTTAATATCATATATAGAGTCTCTCTGTATCTGTATATTCATGATTGCATGGGTTATACTTCGCTGCAGTGATGGAACTAAAATAGCTAGATAAATATAGTAAGTAAGCATTATCCTATTAATGCATAGAAGGCAGCAGATTGCTGTTAAAGTAAGACCTCAGTTGCCATTCTGTTAAAATACCTTGATGTGGTCAAATTCACTCTGTCTTAGAGAAAGGTGCACAGTGAACATGAATGTTATTTGATAAATAAAGGTTTTCGCTTAATTATTATATTGTGAGTGGAAAGGGATCAAAACTGACATAGTTATGTTTGAGTACTGATAGTAGTTCTAAAATATGATAATTTTGAAATGTAGTATTACTGTAACTGTGATATTACCAAGTATTAAATAGGATTTACAATTCAAGATGAGTTGTATTTGTGTTCGTGTTATTTAATGGAATGTTAAAATTCAGAAGACTCCAGGTGTCTTACCTTGTCTTTGTTTGGAGAAACCTCTTTTGGAGCCTTTCTTCTTTAACAGAAGCCAAAATCCTGACCTCGTGGCTGCAGGGGGAGCTGGTTTTCACTTCGTGTTAAAATTTCAGTTGCTAATGGGTTGATCAGGATTCAGCTAAACTCTCAACCAAAACAAAGAAATCAGCACTGCTCTGTAAGCCTTTTATAGTCCATAGTCTTAAAATTAAGCCTCCAAAGAAAGGAGAGGTACAGTAGTCTAGATCTCTCCTTGTTTGAAATGCTTTGTGATAGGTAGAAACATTTATTAGAATTGACACATGGTATGGAATGCACTCATCTCTTGCAGAGGATTTACTTTCCCAACATGCTGCGAGCCAAACTGAACAAGGTCATATTTATGAAAGGCTCTGCATGACATTTTCAAAGAATTTTCAGTGTTCTTTTGACTGAACATTTTTTTAATACCTGAAATAATCCAGCAATCAAGCAAAGAGTATTTCTTATCAGAAAGAATAGGATGCTTTAAAATAAGTCAAGGATCTATCAATTTTCTAATTACTTTATCTAATACAGGGTCATGGGTGTGCCAGAGCCTATCATGGCAAACAATCAGTACAAGGGAGGATACATCCTGGATGGAATGCCAGTCCCTTGCCCGGTGCATTCAGATACAACATTCAGAGAGGGACAGTTGTCCTAGAAGCCTATAGTTGGGGATCTAGTTATCCATTGATTGAAGAGAGAACATATTGCATATATCCGACAGGACCTTCAAAATGATGGGACTGCCCTCCAGCTTTGATCCTTAATACAACTGGATAAAGGAGAGCGAACTTGATATTATGCTCATATAACACATTTTTGTTAGGTATCTTTATATTTTTTATTAACTTTTGAAAGGCTGGGAAAAACAAGACCTTCATACCAAATCCCCCTCAGTATGCTGCACTTCTTAGGCCAAAGCCCTGTCCAGCTCCAAGTTTCTCTGATCTTCACCTAAATCTTGTATCCTGGGGATGTTTTCTCATGAGACCTGATTGCGTCACCTGCTTCACTTCCTTTCGAACAGCTGAGAAAGCAAAAGTTGTTCTTTCTGTTCCCGTTCTTCATGTTATCAAGCTTGATTCTTATTGATATGAAGGTTTTCCACATTGGAAGTCTATTTACCTTGATTTCAACCCCATGAAATCGAGTGGCAATATCAGAGAGGCTGTCTTCCACTACTGTCCTAGATACCTTTGTAGTCATTAGTCTACTCAGGTCTGCTGAATAATTCAGCACCATATAAATATTTGCAAAGTCTATAGTGATTTCACCTTGGCGGAGTCTCATTCTTATTCCTTTACAGACTTCGGTTGTTGAGAGGTGGGTTTTGACTTGCTTATTTTCTGCAATGAAACACTCTGAGTGGTAAATTCAATGTCCTGTAGTGGTTTATTATGATTCAGCTATAATGTCACAATTTCTCTTTGTGGATTTGTCACACAGCTACATAACAAAACATAAAAATATGAATGGGTCTGCTTTCAGAAACAGAACAACAAGCAAGAAAACAAAGAGTAAAGAGAAAACAGTGGCTTGGAACTGTCACTAAATTAAAAAAAAACTAATTTGCCGCACATCAAAGGGACTCAGCTCTTATTTCATGTGGACAAAACCACGTAATACATCTGCCTTGTTTTTGCTGTTCCTTAGCCGCAGACATCTGGAGTCCTTCCAAAGAGGCCTGATGTGTTTAATACTGTAAGTCAAGTCAAGATCTGGCTCACCTCCAGGGGCTGGTGTTTTTCTTGACTCCTTCAAATAGGGGGTTGTAATTTGAAGGGAAGGGATAAATGCAAATAGATACTCCAAGTAACTGCTTACAGACTATCTCAGAACTGGCTGTAGGACTTTGTGATAGGATAACTTATGTTTGTGCAATCATGGGATATAGAAGTGGTAACTTGCATAGTTGTAATTCTGATCTGTTTACATTTCATCATGGTAAAATTATGATATTGCTGTAGAGTACGTATTCCAGGTCATGGCAATTTCACATCAGCATTATTTAGGCCTTTTATCTGAAAGTTTTGTAGCCACCCCTTAACTGTCTTTTATAGAATATGAGAAATGCTGAAGTGCATAAGTCTTAGACATCATAGTCACAATCAATAGTTGTATATATATATACTGTATGTGTGTTGTGAACAATCAGCATTTTCTACAGAGATCCCAGCAATGTTTTCTATCATTCTAACAATTTTGACTGTTTGACTGTTATTAATAAACTTTAGTCTTGGCGAGAAGAAGCCAAGCTTGTCCTTTAGCAGTTTCATTCATATTGGATCATTCAGTAGTAAAAACACAAATTACACACATGTGGAGTCTACAAGAAATAGCATCTAATACAGATACTGTAGATACTGTAGAGAGAACAAATACAGAAAAGGCTGGTGGAGTCTGGAGGACGTTACCCAGCCACGCTGTTGAAGCCAATATCTTGGCTTCTTTCAAGTAACAGCTGGATGAAATCCTCAGGTCGTTTAACTAATAGCAATCAAATAAGCTATGGATGAGAATCCTCAAACTTTTAATCACGACAAGGTGAGCTATATACTGTAGTCAATATGAAGTGTTGCAGTAGCTCATTCTTTACAGGTTGCTAAATCAAATCTCTCTCAGGTGTTCCTTGTCATTAACATCACTTATTCCTCTCAATGAAACTAAAATATGCCTCAGGATTAACTGTTATCTTAAATTCAAATTAGCTTAATTTTTTCAATTGTTCTTTATTACAGCTTGTGAGAGACCATTGTATATCTCCCTGGTATCCTCCTGGTCCAGTTTGCAGTATTCTGAGCTGCCGGAGGTGATGATTGAGTTCAGGATTTTTTGCCATAGGATCTTTTTACTTTTAAGATCCCCCAGAATGCTGTCTTACCAAACACCATGCTGTATTATTCTCAGTTAGCTTGGAAAACAATTGAGGTAATGTTCATTCTCAGTAGTATCAATCACCTAAATACAAACTGGAAGACCTCATGGCGTTTTGTCATTTAAAAAATAAATGCATCCACACATTTGTCCCTTCTCCACCTTAACATCAAACCACAGGCCTAGAGAGTCCAGAACTAATGTAATAGTAAAGTGAATGGCATGTTCATCCTGTACAGTAAATGCATGGTTTTCTTTTTTGGTAATGTTATTCTTACTGTATTAAACAAAAGATGTACATTCTAAAAGGAACTTAACTGTATTCTGAGTGATAAAACAAAGTGCCCTTAAATAAATCCAATTACTGTAGGTAGGTACAGTAGGTCAGTCCCTTTTCAGGTCATAAAGGCCCATGGGGGAATGGGGGGCTAGGGCCACCATTTTTCTTGACCATCCGACACTGGAAGTGCAGGTGATGTGAACAGCATCATGCTCCAGCCGGCCTATTACCCCCAGAAGGATTAACCCCCGGTT